AAAAAAAAAAAAAAAAAAAAAAGAGCTTGTTAAATAAGGAAAAAAAACACTCTGGTCCTCCAAAGGCTACCTTATTTTTCTTTCAGTAGCACTCTTAGTCACTTAACATATGAGCATGGGGAAGATAATTTGGGAGATTTTTAAAACATTTCATTTGGCTTTTAACTAAATCGTGGTATGCAAATTGGAAAATGGATGAATTACACAACCTCAGATGTTTGAAAATCTCAAAATAAACAAGGATATCTCGAAAACCATGAAAAAGTATATTAGAGGGGCCTTAAACCTGATCAGTTTCCCTAAGCTCCATGTGAATGTGAATTGTGTTTTATAGGTGCATCATGTGTACTAAGGACTGGGGAGGGTATAAAGAAACTCCATTTAAAGTTGTTGCCCTCAGGCTCACAATACATTTGGAAGTCAAAGCATACATAGAGTAAAAATTACAATAAAAGATTATCATAAAAGGAATAGATTAGAATGTAAAATATATAGAAAAGGATTATGACTAAGGATTGTTCAAATAAGACAGCACCGAAAAGGCAGACTTCATAGACAAGGAAAAAAGCTTTGGACGGAAACTTGTGAACAGGAATCTACACAGAGCAGTGAGATGGAAGAAAGTCAAGGAACAGTGATCATTTTATACTTGGATGGCACTCTCAGCAACTATATAGGACTCTGTTATCTAATGGGTGTTTTCCTCCATTCCTCTTCCCTGTTGACATAACTAAAACTACAGAATTTAATTATTTTTAACAAATATATTTTCGAAGGAGTAAATTAGTCAAAAATCGCTTGGAAAAATACAACTTCAGAACACCATGTAAGTATATTTTTAAAGGATCTTGAGTTTACCTAATCTAATGGATCACAACATATTTTAGGTCCTATCTATCACCTAATCTAATGGATCACAACATATTTTAGGTCCTATCTATCACTGTTTTGGAGCCTGGATACCACCATAAACAAAAAGACCTTTTTTTCCTAAAAATGGAGCATAGACATTTAAACAGTCTCAATTCCTAAATGTCACAAAACATCCTGGGTCCTCAGCCATTTCTCTGTACCACTAGATGTGAACTCAGAAATCTGGTCCACACCTTTTTGCCTATTGGAAACAAAAGGATAAAACAACTTCTCCAAGGTCATAAACACTTCAAATAAAAAAGGGGAAATAAATTTTCTGGCCCTTCCTCGGTGCTAAACTACTGTTAATACTTTCCAGAATATCCAGTCATGAATCTCTGTATTAAACAAGCAAATCCAGAAGATCTCAAGTACATTAAAAAAAAAAAAAAACTGTAAATCCAAGTCAACCACATACAAACTTCTCTGACATCCCAGAGTTTGTAATCTGAACAAATTCCACTAATATTTTGTATTTGATCCAAAATTACAGAAATGTCAACATTTCGCTAATTTTAAAAGAAAATCCATTCTTCATTATTTCACCTACAACGGAATATTAACTGGCAACGCATTTAAATATTTCCTAAGAATAAAATCTGTCCAAGTCTGTCAATAAGCCATACGGAAATAGACAGGTATGTAAAAACGTCCGAATTTTTATAAGTACATAGGAGATTATCGGGCAAAAAACTAAAATGAAAGATCAAGTTACAAATGAGACTAAAGCGAGGGAGAGAAAGGACAGAGGGGAAAATGAAGAGACACCGTGGGCAGCAGGCCGCTGGGGAGGAGGGTAGCAGGGCTAGGCGCGAGGGAGGGCTACAAATCACTTACTCGGGCTGGCCAATGGGGATAACCTTTCATCTTGGCAAAGATGAGGTCTCCAGGTTTGAAATCGCGAGTCATGTTTCGGGGGCGCGGCCGGGGGTCCGAAACCCGCGAGGCGGTGCAGAGATGCGGCGGCGCAGGGATGCGGGCGGCGGACTCGGGCCGAGCTCCCAGACCAGCGGGCGCGAGAGGATGCCTCGGGGCGTCCCGACGCGCCTGCGAGGGAGAACACCGACAGCGGTTAAAGCGAAGAACCCCGAAGGGAGGGGCCCCAAGGGGAGGGGGAGGGGGAGAGGGAGGGGGAGAGGGAGGGGGAGGGGGAGGGGAGCTCGGGGTGGGGGTGGGAGAGCGAGGGGAGGGCCGCCTCCCGCTCCTCCCTCGCCAGTGCGCTGCCTCCGCGCGGGGGCCGGTCCTGCGCCCTGCCACCGAAAAGACGCCACCACCTGAGGCAGGGATGCTGCCAGGCCCGAAATCTCCCGTCTGCCCGCCCCATCTTTCTCCGGGCTTTTTCCACCGGGCTTAAGCCTCAGGAGGGAGGGGGTGCATGGCAGAGAAAAATGCAGGGATTCCGACAGGCAAGCGGCCCACTTTCCGCCCCCGCAAGGCCTCGCCCGTAACCTGCTGCCCCGGTGGCTGCACCCTCTGCAGCCTCGGCCCCCGGGCGGGCCGCGTCCACTTCCCCGCTACAGCCAGGAGCCAGGCCACGGGAGGGAGGAATGAGGAAGGGAGGGAAAAAAAGAGGGAGGGAGGGAGGAAGGGAGGGAGGAAGGAGGGAGGGGGGGGGGGGGGGGGGAAGGGGGGAGGGGGGGAAGGGGGGGCGGGGCGAGTCCCCCGTCGCCCGCTCACCTGCTGGGGCCGCGGACGCCGAGGCTGCGATTGCTGGCCGGCCGCCTATACCCGTGTCCACGCAAGCCACCTGCGCCACCAGCTGCCGCAAAGGCGTCTCAACGGCTTGGAATCGCAACCGCCTCCGCCACTACCGCTGCCGCCGCCGTAGCTGCGCTGCTCCCGCGCGGCTCCCGCTCGGCGCCCGCTAGCACTGGGGCGCGACCAACTGCTCGCCGAGAAAGGGGGGATAATGCAGACCCCGGCGAAGGTGTGTGGCTCCAAAGCCGAGCTTCTGAAAACCCTGGGTTCCTAAGTTCGCTTTCGTCTAACAAGTGCGTGCAGATGGATAGGGAGACGCAAGCGAAGAAGAAAGAACTGGGCGAAAATAGCTCGGCAGGCCGCAAGTTCCCCCTGCGGTTTGCGGAGTGGTCGGGCCCGGCCCGCCCCTGCTGGCCTCTCTCTGTGTGTGTATTTGTATGTGTACTGTATGTAAAAGGCGGGGAGGGAGGAAATGATTGTTGTGGACGCGGTTTGGGGGCGGGTATCCGGGCCTGTATCCCTTGGCTGCGTGTTAGGGAGAAACTGGCAGAAAAGCTGCATGTTCTTGTATCGTTTCCCAGGGTGGGGAGGCTTTAATGCTGCTTTTGCGCGGTTTGCACCATCCAAAAAAGAGGAGCTGCATGAAAACCCATAGATGAAATTGGAGAAAGCGGCGGTTACAGGGTGTGCAGCATGTAGGCCTCTTGCACCTCGCTGAATGGGCCTCATCGTCTCCCTTTCCTTGAAATTGTAATATGAGAAAGCCGTATTTCTTTAACGTTTAAAGCACCAAGAACTATTAAGAAAAATGCAACTCTACTAAATGCAAAATGCAAAGGATAGAAAAAGATGACAGGAAAGCAGAAGCCTTTTAGATAGGATGTGAGTTTGGGCCCTAACTAAATTTTAGCTGCATCTAAATGTTATTTCCCTAGTAGAAGAGTAGCCAGTAGGTGGTACAATGTATACGTATTACTAAACCTCAAATGTTTTCTGTTTTAAAATGCTCTTCAAGGAATTTTAAAGATTAATTTTTGATCTTTTAGAGAGAGAGAAAGTATTTTTTAAAAGAATGTTAAGACACATAAAAATAAGAATAAGACATATATTCGCACCTAGATAATACTGCTTTAAATATGGGACTCCCAACTGGAAATGAATCAGGAAAAGGTTTATTGAGTTGGTAAAGATTGAGAATTTTGAAAGCAATACAGCATGTCTTTGAAAAGGAATGAAAGAAGACAGTCCCAAAGTAAAATGTCCTGCAAGGAGTTTTGAGAAACAAAATCATACCTGGGCAGAGAGTTCCAAGTGTAGCAAAAAGAGAAATTGACTGGCAAAGGAGAAAGAAGGGTTGGTAAAATGTCTTGAAGCTTCTCATTCTGAATTTGAGTTTAATGTGTGTAGTAGCAAGCTACTATAGGTTGCTGAGCAAGAAAGGGGTGAAAATGATTGTTTAACCAGTTCTTGATGTTTCAAGGTAGATGATAGAAAGAGGCTCCGGGTAACGAGTACACATGAAATGACCCATTTCTCAGTGAGACTGATGACTATGAAAAGGGAAGGAAGAGCACAACTAAGTAATTACACAAAGGAATAATTGTCAGGTGTTGGCTATAAATTATGCACAGGAAAAGGTGGAGAAAGATGTGTTGAAGAAAAGCTCAAGATACAGAGTAAGCGAGACCAAGAAATCATTCAGCAATGATTTTTTTGTGCACTTTATTTGTTATCAACCCTACAAGGCCTTGCTACTGCAAGTGTGGTCCAGGGCCTAGCAGCAAGGGAGCACTTGGGTGGGAGCCTATTAGCAGCTCAGCCCTTCCCCAGGCCTACTAAATCATAATCTGTGTTTTAACAGGATCTCTAGGTGATTCTTATGTATATTCAAGGTTGAGAAACTGCTGTAGTGGATACCTCAGACTGTAAGAACTTCAAACTAAGAAAACAGACATATAAGTTATCATTAATTTTAAAGATAACTTTTTATTTGTACTAATGGTAGGACCCACAAGTAAAGAGGGGGTAGTTAATGTTGGGGGACCTCAGAAAAGAAATAAAAAACAAAGGAAAATGGAAAAGTATTGATGTTTTAGTGTTTTTTGTTTTGTTTTTTTGAAAGAAGTACCATACTTCGCTCTTGCTGCCTTTAAGTTTTGACCATTTCAACCTGTGGTAGTCTGTGGACAACAGGAGATATCCTTTAAACAATAAGGGCAAAACAGGTGGTGGTTTAAGCTTCCGGAGAACAAAAGCCCAGGATCCCTGGGAGCAACAGTTCCGAATCTGAGAGGAAAGGGGGAGGGGAGGGGAGGGCAGGGAAGGGAGAAGGAAAGCCGGGCACCTCTTAGCCAGTTGGAGAGCTTTTCTGTGCTCTTTTCCAGCAGTACTATTTTCCAGCCGTGCTTGGTACAGCCTTCCTCCATAATCAGCCTTCTTAGTGGGGGTTCTTGAAAAGGTATAGCAAAATGGAGATCATAGGAGCAATGGGAAAGTTATAAGGTGAAAGAATATACTTTCCAAAACAACTGAAGCAAGCGTTGGGG